GGTTAGGTATTCCTGCTCTTCCCCAAGGATGCAGGATTCCCCATTCCTCCCCCAGGTCTTATATCCGAGACTTACCAACGTCAGGGGCACAGGCCTCGTCGGCTTTGGACGCATTCTCTGCATTCTGTGTTTTAGAATCTGGGGAACAGAAAGCCGGTTTACAGAGAAGCCCTTGCCCTCCAGGTCCAGAGAGGGGCAGGTAGGCCCTTCTCACACTACCTGGTTTACTCGGGTAGTGTCTGTGTCTCCGGGTTATGACAGGCGGGTCCATGTCCCTGATCGGGGTTGATTGTCCCCACTAGCATAGCTCGAGCTTTAGGAGGACAGTGGTCCCCTTCTCTGACACTCCAAGGGTGGTCCCAGCCAGAACATGTGACTGAATGTGTTCTATCACAGACTGGCAGCCTCTGCTGAAGGCTCTCTTCCCTGCCATACCCTGGTTTGAGGCCCCTCTTCCCCATCCAACTTTCTGGCCCTGAGTGGCAGAAATCAGGCTTCTCTATTTCTCCTATGAGAGACTCATTAGATAGGGCTTCCTGTAAGAGGAGGAGTCTTGCTGCCTGGTCTCAGTCCCATTCCCTACAGAAGTTACTGTGCTCGGGGGCTGGTGGCCAAGGATTTAGAGTTGCCCAATATCCTCCCATGTTGGGGACAGCTGGCCTACGTACCTGGGCCGTTGGCCTCACTACGGCTGGTCCCCTGCTTTGGATGGCCAGGGGACTCGTGTCTGGGCTTCTGGCTGAAGGCCAGGAAGAGGTGTGTGCTCAGCGGCTGAGGAAGGTCCACTTCCAGGTACGCCCTCATGAACAGCTTGAAGACATCATAGCTAATGGGCTGAGAAAGGGCAAAACGAGAAAGTCAGTGGAGAGAAGCGAAAGGATGGAGGAAAGGAGAGAAGGAAAAGGGGTCAGGGCGGTGGCAGGGGAAAGAAATGGAAAAGGAAGCAGAAGGAAGTGGGGCAGTGGATGGAGGAGTAACGAAAAAGCCAGGGCGGTGACAGAGCGTGACAGTCACCAGGCTCAGGGCCGGGGGGTAAGAGAAAACGCTGGCAGGTACATACTGGAACACACGGGGGCACAAGTCAGGTCAGGCTTCGCGCGAGATAGGATGAGGTCTAAATTTAGATGAAAAAGGAGTTGATGGAGAGTGAGTACTGGCACAGGCCAGAGCGGAGGACTCTGGCTGAGCCCAGGCCCATGGAGGGGTGTGGCTGAAAGGAGCAGGAGCGAGGCCAATGGTCTCCAATGACCCAGAGAGGGAGAGTATTGTCGTTCACAGCACGGCAGAAAGAATCCTGCTCCTGTGGCCTGGGTTTCCTCCTGTGGCCTGAGGGAGGCAATTCCTGAGCGGCCAGGTTTCAGAAAGGAGGAGCCTTCAGCACTTCAGTGATTCTGCTCTCCCCTGGACAACCCCGTAAGGAGTGCCTGCGTCTCGGCTCAGCTTCTCCTCCGAGCATGTCCTTGTGAAGGTGTCGGCGCCAGGATAAGAGCAGGCAGCCAGGGACAGAAGGCAGAACCGAGACAGGCCAACAATGAGACCCTCTCCTGCTGTGTCTCTCCCCTACCTCCGGGCTTCAGGCCCCGGGTTGGGAGTGACCCTGCCAGAAAGGGCTGCTGCCCTCGGCCAACACGCGGCAGCAAGCAGTGTGCGGTGAGTCATCGCTGGCTTGTGTGTTCATGGCAGCAGACTCTTCCTCAAATCGGCAGATGCTCCTGGAAATCGTTTGAGGAAGCACTGCTCCGAGATCGCTTTTGCAGGCTTTTGTGAATAATAACAGCCGCAAGAATAAAATCTTCCACTGGGAGCCTACATGGCCCTCTCATCAAAAAGCCAATGGCGTTTAACTCCTTGTCCGTTCTCGGAGACCTGGAAGCCTGCCCAGACCCAGAGCTCACTTGCATGAGTGTAGTCAAAGTCTCAGCCCTAAAAGCAAGTGATACTCCCAGGAGAAGGGGTTACAGGCAGTTTCCGCCGGGCTGTTCAGGGCACCTCCTCTGCAGGGTGGAGGCCTCTGGCTCAGCTGGACAGAGCTTTTACCAGGTAGGGAACTCCACGCAGACGGTGCACTCGCATCTTGGGAGTCGTCCATCTGTCTCTGTCCCTTCCTATCCCGAGTCTCTGAGCCTCTCTATTTCATATTCTTTCTGACCCTCGCTGTTTCACAGCCTCATCACCTGAAATATCCCTCCCTCACATGTCGCCCCTTTCCCCCAGCACACGAGAACAAAATCTTTCC